AAAGGAACACTAATCCCCTCTTCTTTTGCTTATTCTCCCTCGCGTAGCATTTTCCCTTGTCACTGCAGTTTAACACGCAACGATTTATTCAATAACTGCTACCCACCTCCCTGACCCTCTTTTTTTTTTTTGGTAAATATGACTCTGTGTGTGTGTATGCCCCTCTTTGTTGTTCGTTTTTGTACTTTAGTAAAGATGCTTCAGGATCGCATCACCTCCCCCCTTATCAACCAATCATTCACAATGCATACGTACAGTCACGCGCATATGTGCATACGCATGCGAGAAAGGGAGAAGAAAAAAAAAAAAAAAGGTAAAATGACCCCGCCCACTGACATCGCTCTCACCCCTCTCCTCCCCACCACACCACACCTAAGGCAGTTTGACATGTTTCGTTTTCCAATGCTCCTATCTGCTTTACGCGTCTGTCGCCTCTGCCTTCGCCCCTCACCTGGTGTCGCTTCGGCGATGAAGAAATGAAAAATAAAAAATTACAGTGCCGGCCTCATGGCATCCGTATGCGCAACTGACGTCGTCTGGCCAAATTATCCCGCTGCGGTCGCTCGACAACTGGTAGAAAATGACATTGCGGTGAGGAAGAAACTTTGTCGTGGCTACAGCTCTCCGCGGCAAGGCCGTTGTTGTCCACATAACATTCTACGCCAGCCCGCCGAATTGATTCCATGCCCCGTTGTCCCCGTGGTGTGGTGCTTTCGGCCAAAGCGTTCAGCTCCAGGAGAGCTGGTGCTACGGATGTGGGCAAGGCAGATGTTTTGTCACTGCCGGCAAGAATCCTATCTGAACCAAAAATAGGGGAGATGACAAGGCCAGGCGATGTCACAGGCCGGTCAGAAAGCGAACCGGTAAACGGTAGACGCTTGTCTAACGTCTCTAGTTCACTTCCCGTCTCGCCCTGTACGTCTCCGGCAGTGCCGTCCCCCTTCGCCTCGTCGACAGCCAGTGGGGTTAAAAAAGTATTTGACAGCTGGTTCAATGGCCCTGGATACACCCCTGCGCCACCAGGTAAGACTGATGTGAAAGAGTCAGACAGAAGCGCCACTGTGCTAAACGACACGAAACGTGGTCGAGTACGAGGCTGTGGAGAGAACATATTGCTGCCTTCTCGATCCCCAGCTAGCGGTAGGTCCTCCAAAGTGGTATCGAAAGAAACTGAACCGCGTTCACTCATTTTTCCTTCTCCCGACAGTTGCGTCGTAGTTGACGATGAAAAGTACTCCATCCCCCTCATTCGAGGCATTGGTGATGGCAATAATAACTTCGGTGGTGTTACGGTGGGGCTGTTTTCTTTACATGGGGACCGTGGGGTACTGCCCAGTGGTGAGATCTGCACAGATGACCTTGGTGTTTCACCTCTGCTTGCCTCGTCTCCCGTTGAGGAACAGCAAAAGTGTCGCGGAAAAATCGGCGCAACTGAGCTGCCCACAAAGGGGGATAGTTTGGGCCTCAAGGGTTTCAATTGTATTGCCCCACCCTCTGGAGAGATTCGCCGCTCCGACGGGGACACAAGAACAAATCCGTTGTTTGCCTTCGTGCAATGCCCTGGAAACTTCGCTAATGTGCCTGCTTCACACTTCGCTCGGCTCGATAACGAGAGGAGCTCACTCCCTGCACCATTGCGTGGCGTTTGCAAAGGTGACTCGCTCTTCCTCTTTAGAAGTGAGGAGAAGGGCACCAACACAGGCCACGACGGTGAGCCCAGCCTACCATGTCTATCAAAACTGTGCGATGAATCCCACCGTCGCGGCGACGGCGATACGGGCCGTGCCTCTGCTGAGTGCCTACGCACACTCCTTCCAGAGACTAGACTGAATTCGTTTATTATTTCAGTAGTTTTCGAGGCCAAATTTGACGCGTTTATCCCCATTAAATTTCCAGAATCCTCCAAGATGCTTTTGAGTGATTCAACGCCTGTAACAGCTTCATTTCCGATAGACAAATCAACGGTGTTGCTCCGCGTGGTGCCCCCATCGGTTACGTTCAACCGCGAAGAGGCACCATGTAACCCCTTGGTATTGTGTCTACCCTTCTCTCTCGTGCATGTTTCATCCTCACCCTCGCCTCGCCCCCTGGCCTCTGCCTGCTCCACACCGGACAGATGGCAATCAACGCCCTTGGTGTCTACCACACCCGTGCTGGGCTCGGTGCTACGTCGGTCCGTCTGCTGCGTCTCCTCGTCACCTCCACCTCTAGCTTTTGCGAGCAACTGGGGCAGCTGCACGCTCTCCTTTGCCGCGTACGCCGTCAAGGAAACAGGTGTCAAAGAGTCACATTCTTTAAGACTGGATGCTGTTCTTGTGGTACTGATGTCCAACGATTCACAACAATGAAACCCTGGAGGCACTTGCTTCACCACGAAAGATCCCATGCAAGTCGACCCCTCAGATGGTTCTCGGCTCCGCTCAACACGCACGCGCCTCCCCGTCGAGCGGTCCAGATGATCAAGAAAAACAAAGTCAAGCAAAAAAAAAAAGACACCTGTTTTTACGCCGAAACTACGTTGTTGTTATTTTTCACTCCTCAGTCCCTCCACTCCCTACGCCGACTTCTACTTACTTATCCGGTGTTGCGGTGGGGGAGCAACGGTGGGCGGGTCCCGAGGAACGCAAAGCAGAAGATGAGCGGCGCAAGGATGCACGAAGACGCTTGCAAAAATAACGAAAGATGGGTCTGCCCCGCAGGGCCTCGTATTACAGGGCCTCCTCCCGCTGCTTCCTACTGGGCTGTGTGCGCGCCTTTCCTTGCGACTCGGCAACCGCCGCACGCGTCTTTATTTATTTGTTGTTGTTTTTTGTAGCGCAAACAAACAACTACCTGTTCCCAAAAAAAAAAAAAAAATGGAGCAGAGAAATCCGCAGTCGTAAAGGAAATCGTCTAGTTCGCTCGGTAAAAAAAAAAAACCTAGCAATAAAGTAAGTGAGGTAGGTGTACACGTACGCATTGGCAAGTACCTTACAGGCATATATATATATATATATATATGGCAACTGAGGGTGGTTGTTGCAGTCTCCCTACAAGACACCCATGCGCAGCATGAATTGCACTGCCAGAATGCAGCTCCACTTGGCTACCGTTCTTGGTGGTGGTGGTGGTAATAACAATTGGTGCTGCTGTTGTCCCTCGGCGTTCAATCAGCCTTTGCCTGTTTATTCAATCTTCCTACCGTACTTGTCTACACGGAACAAGGTCTGTCCCAGTGATCGTGGCTTCAGCTGGTTGTTTTTCATGTATGTGCCGTGGCGGCCACTCTTGCGACAGGCCTCCTCCATGCGTTTATTGGCATGCGCCCACTCCTTCTCCTTGGGGTATTTAATGTGCTTCCACGCGCTACTCTTCGCCGACGGGAGGGAGGGCGCAAAGGAGACACTCACTTCCCTGTCGTTTGCGACAATGCTCGTGAAGTGGTGATAGATCCCTTTCTCCTCGGCATACCGCTGCATCGCCTGACACATCTCACGTATTTTACTGATCGCGGCATCAGGAGACTGAAACTCCTTGATGGTGACTTTGACAGGGTGACGCCTCTTAATATCTTCCACAATCTTTCTGCTTTTCCACCCCACAAAGTGTGCATCAACCACGTCACGAAACTGGTGGTCCACCTGCTCACGCAATTTGCCTCCTGCCTCATCATGCTCCACACGATGGCTGGATCCCTCCTGCTTCTCCTGCTCAAGCAGGGCCTCGAGTTCGGCACTCACAAGACCTAAAATGCGGGGAATCTCACGGCGAATACGACAGTACGCCATATCCCCGCGAGTTCCCATTTGCACAAGATTCATTCCACGCCCTTGGGCCTGCTCCAGCGCCTCTGACAAGTCACAGGGGCTTAAAGACAGTTTCGCCTCCGTGCCAGACTCAGGGTCCTCCACGTGGGTGATATGCACCTTCGGCTGTGTAATGAGAGTATCAATGGGATGCTGCTGCAGGTACGTCTTCACCCTCTGCGTCGCCGAGTCTGGGGCATTCGCAGGAAGAAGATCACGAATAATGGCATCTAGGCTTTTCTTCGCCATGCTGAGTGCTGCATCCTTCTGCACACTAAGGGTGGGGTCAAAGACGTACTCCTCGGACGCGTCAGCGTCCTTGCCGCTCTCACCACCCTTTGGCGCAGAAAAGCAACGTGTGTGCAGTGTCAGTGGTGTACATGCGGCCGTCTGCAGGATCCGTGGGGATAGCAAGAACGGCAACAGAGTGCATGCAGGGCGACGCCAGCAGCTGCTGAAGGGGCGAAGCAGTAGGGCTTGGCTACTCCTACAGGGCACCATCGATGTTGTCAACACCCCCCCCCCCCCTGCCTCCCTTCCCCCCGCAAGAAACGACGTACTCCCACACACCCAACGCAAGCTGAAGCGGGTAGAAGAAGGCACAAGGCCGCTCCAACCCAAGAGCTAAACGCAACAGGAACAAAAAACAAGTGCAGCATAGACGAAAAAAAAAAAAAACAAGAAGACCAAATGAAACACCAAAAAAAAGAGTAAAAAAAAAAAGAACTGCGGCGTCCCCCGTTGTGGCAAAAAGACAAACGTTCCACCTCCATGAAAAATGAAGCACGTGCAAGACACACGCACGCACACACAAAGTCAAAAATGTGAATTAAGGAGAGAAGCACACATTTTCCTTCCTTTTGTCAGCTCGTGAAAAGTGAAAGGTGGAGGTGCGAAGGGTGTATGAAGGCCCATTACGGCTTTAACGCAAACGTCATGCTCACACCGTAGTGGTCTGAGGGGAACAAGTAAGCAGGGGCATCCTTGTTGCCATTCTCGTCGTTCACACTCTTCGTGCCCACAAGGTGCCCATCCACCGGAGCGAGGCGGCAGCTGCGCAGAAACATTTTATCGGAGCGCCCAAAAAACATCTCCTCCACCTTCAGTTTACAAAATGTGTTCGTCTCGTCCATGGTTTTTCCAGCATCGCGCGGGTGCAATAGCGGCCAACAATCAACGTACTGAGATTCCGCCGGCATAAGAAACTCTTGCGTGGGCCAGTCGTTAAAGTCACCCATCGTGACAACGTCACCGGTTAATGTCTTTACCATGTGATGCCGCAGCACGGAGTCTTGTGAGGTGCGTGCCGTCTCATGGGATTTCGTGTATGGGGCCAAGAGATGTGCTGCCGCCACGTGCACGGGCCCGTGCGGCATCTGAAGAGACACAACGGGCATTAGCGAGACGTGATTTGTCCATGCAGGGACATTAAGATATGTGATGCTTTGCACGGGAAAGCGCCGGCGATGCACCAGCATAAGCACGCCCCACGGCATAATAGACGGACTCGTGTAACCGCATGAGAAGTAATAATTTTCACGCATCCACGGTTGCTTTGACAGAAATTCCCAAAAAACGGGTTCAACCTCTTGCATACCCACAACATCTGCATCCTCCTGCTCAATAACCTTTGCGAGGACCGGGTACCGTTTCGAGGAACACCAATCGATGCCAGGCATTCCCAGCGGGGTGGGTTTGCCGCTATACCGGTCAAACATGACGTTCCACGTAAGCAACTTTAACGTCACCTGTTTTGCGGTGCCTACTCGCCTTCCCTCCTTGTTGCCACGCGTGGGGCAGGAAGACAACGCAGGCTCCTCAGCACCCTCTTGCGCCGCTGCTCCCGTTTGACGTTCTCTCGCCGCTGCTGCTGGTGGTGGCGTCACCAGCAGTGGTTCCTTATCTGTGTCATCGTCCTCCTCCTGCAGCGATGTGGACGCCGCTTCGGGGCCGTTTACGTCCCGCATTGGGGCAGCGCAAACGTCCTCTGCCCCACACGGGAAGTTAGTGATTGGCTCCCACGTCGCGCTGGAGAGGGCAAAATACGACGGTCCATCACGAGACATGTTTACCTCCAACATCACACCTTTTATGGCGTTGCGGTGCCGACGCGTCTCCGCCTTATGACTGCGGACGCCGACATCGACGTACTGAAACTTCCACAGCTGTGTCTTCTCATTCTGCAACCAGCAATACGATGGGGAGAGGCACAGGCACTTGTGCGGCTTCGAAGGGTTCGCGTACGAAAGCACCTCCCGCACAAGTTGATGGGCCTCCACTGTGTTTGCGGTAGTGATCATCTTGCCAACCTCCGGCTTTGGGGCGACACCAACGTATTGATGAATCAACCCTTCCACAGTGGCCGGTAACGACTGGCAGAGAATGGTGTATTCCGCCGCCGTCAGGGGCCGGTGCTGGGAGGGCGGCTCACGACTTCCCTCGGATGATTCCGTAGAATTAATGCGGGGCACGGCACAACGCGCGGTGCGCTGCGGCGAAGAAGTGCAAAGTGCGTTAAGGTGCCCCGTGAACTGCGCCAATCCTGGCATCGCTGAGTTGCCTTGCGGCGACGATGATACTGTAGGGAAGTAATCATGCTCAGGCGCCTCGCCGAGGCACAACATGGCGTGGGTCTGCAGTGCATGCTCCAGGTACACCTCGGATGCCGCGTCAATTCGCTGAGCCACCTCTTTCCGAGTAGCCAGCTGCATGATGCGGCAGAGAAGCGGAAGGCTTAGCCGCAGCGTATTTCCAGGGGCGTCCTCAAACAAAAATGTCCCCTCCGCAGCGGCAGTCGATGCCGTGGAGGGGCCACTCGGTGAGGATGTTGCATTGGCGACGGACTCGCTCATGAGCTTCACATACCACTCCACCAACTCGTGGAAGGCCAGACCTGGCAGAGGGCTGAGCTCCGTTGCGGAAGCACCAAAGGCAAGAATAAACAGAAAAAGAATATCTGTGCGCATCTTTGCAATGGTAACACTTTCCCCTTCCTTCGCCTTCTTATCGAGCTCTAGCCATTCAAGAATATCCTGCAAACGCATTTGCCGCAGGTCTGCGTTATTCTGCACCACACTGACGACGTTGTAGAACGGCGACAGGGCCATCACGTTCAGATACAACTCCGAGGCCCCAATGAGGCACAGTGAGTCTGAGCTCCCGTTGAAGGTGTCGCGGGACGCCAGATCCAACGCCCACGCAGACATCTTCTGTTCCACACAGCCATGAACACAAGTGCCAGAGAACACGACCTCCCCGGGAATAATTTGTCGTTCTGGCATCATGCGTACCAGGCGCTCCTCCACCGCTTGCATGAGAGCGGTTCCTGGCAGGCGCATCAGACGACTTTCGATCTTCCGCGTCAAGCTACTGCTCCGCGTTAGGTCGGCCTTCAACAACGTTTCTGCACCATCCATCGCGACAAAAAGAGATTTCTTACAGCGCACTTTCTTGAGCAGCTGCTGCAGCGATTGTGCCACGTGACGTGCCACCTCCTTGTGTCGTCGCTGCTCCGTCGTCACATTTTTGGCGAGGCGGAGCCCCGTTGCGACCAGTGCCGTCGCATCCACGCCAACGTAGTCGCACTCCACCTCCTTCTTTGTGATCAGTAGCTGAAACCGATCACTGACCTTTGACTGCCGGTAGGTTGCCACGGCAAGGCGGGACCGCGTTCGTATGAGGGCCATTGCAAATGGGAATTGCGTGTGGTGAAATCTTTCAGCCACACACTCACAGAAAGACACTCCCTCCCGTCGCCTGCACTCAGAAGCCAAAGCAACGATGACGAGAGACAGCAATAACAGCAAGAATAAAGAACAAGAAAAAGAAGAAAAAAAACGGAGGGATACAAAGAAGTGTGGGCAATTCTGCTGCAGGTGCGCATCTCATTCGTGAGAAAAAAAAAATCTGGAAGAAAAAAAAAAGCAATAGCGGAAATTCGGCTCATAACGTATACGCGCTTCTTGGCAGCCGGGCAGGCAAGCATGTGGTCGGTGAGCTACACATGTTATGGGCACAGAAAGAGAGAGAGATAGAAACAAATGAGGGGTGAGGCTCACAGGTCTTGTATTTGCAAGACCGGGTGTGCCTTCACCTCCAGTCAGACTTCATTACCCTCCTCTCTTCCACCTTCCTTCTGCCTCTCAATGTGTATGTTTTTTATCCGCTTAAGTCCGCCACTCTATGCAAGGCGCAGTCTTTATCGTTAGTTCTGTTTCGGTTCCGGCTTCACCTCATCACCCCCACCATTAGCAGCAGCAGCAGCAGCAGGGGATTGAATAGTTTCCTCGTCACTCTTCACTGCCTGCTTCTTAAGTGTGGCATGTGTCCTTGGCACCGGTGGGATCACGTCAGCCTTTCTCAACAGATCCAGTTTCGTTCTCTCGCTCGTGTAAAGCTGCATAAATTTCACGTAACGCTTCCCCGCGACACCAAAGGCGACATCTGTGACGTCCAGTGGGTGTCGGTCCCTTCCTTCAGGCGAATTATTGGTATTTTCCACCTTTGCAGCAGCTAACTCAGCGCCCTTGTCGGCACCATTCTCAGCACCAGCCCCAGGCTGCTCGGCGCCCGTGGCAGACTCACTTTTATTCTTCACGGGTCGCGGCTTAGGGGCAGCCATCAACGGGAGCTGCAGCAACGAGGCAAACGGGGCGTGAATCACCTTCTCCGCACGAATAATGCGCTGCAAAACCTGCAACGCCTTATGCGACTCTGCCGCTGCAAGTGGGGGTCTCCAGACGGGTGGCGGGGGCAATGGCAAGATGGACAGGGACGGAGGCACTGCTGCAGCAGAATCAGCTGCTCCCGACGTCGTCACAATGCCCTTCGCAAGACGCAACGCCAATGGCATGTCGTCTGGATCGCACGCTTCCGCTTGATTCTGGCGAATCTGTAACTTTAGCTGCACCTGTCGCTTCGTCTGACTACCCGGTGGCGTTGCCGCCGCAGACGCTGAAGGTGTTTCCGATTTTGCCGCCTTTCGGCGAGTCGCCAGCCCACTCACGCCTCTTCCCTCCGACCCTTTGCCAGTCAATGCCTTCTTTCCATCCACAGCATCAGCGTCATGCGTTTGCTTTCGTCCGGCCTGATTAGACGCCGCTGCAGCAGAGGCAGCCCAAGGCTCCTCCTTCCTTTTTGATGTTCGACGCGCCCTGCCTAACGCCTCCCCCTGGGCAGCGCCCCCACTGTGGCCCTGTGAGGCACCTACGGCATGCGCTTGGCCCGTCATGGGGCAAAACATGGTCGTGAGGCCGCACTCCGGGCATGGCGCGTTAACGCCTCTCAGTCTCCCTGCCAACGACACACTGAAGGGGACATCCTCGTCGTTAACCGTCACCGCCGCCGCGTTGTTGGCGTCGTCCTGGCGCGTCTCCTTTGTAGCACGCCGCCGCTTCCGTGAAGCAGATGCATCCGACTGCACTACACTCTGCTGCGAACTTTCTACAAGACTCTTCGTCCGTGGACGCTTCTTGGACTTTTCTGTAACTGGCGTTGTCGTGGCGGTGGCCAGGCTTCCCTCGCGTGACCTTTTTCCTCCTTTTGAGGAACGCCGTGAAGAGCGCTTCCCGGCCTCCGAAATAATACTGGCGCCCGGCAGCGTCTTCAGGCGTGCCAGAACGCTATCGGAGGTCAACCCAAACCACTTTTGTCCCCGCACCGTCAAACCCCCCTGGGCATCGCGCTTCTCCTTCGCGATCTCCCCTGCGTCTTCTGCAAAGTCCTGCTCCGCCGCCTCGAGCGCCTTTCGCCACGGAGTGGAGGGGTTACTGCCGCTGTGAACAACGTCGGGGCGGTCACTGCGGGTAACCTCAAACAGCGGCCCCCCGTCCGGTCCTTTTTTGATCGTGGCTGTGTAGTATACATCCGCCACGTGCGCGTTCGCACCCTGCTCGCCTGGGAACAGCACGTTCGCCCGCTCTCCAGGGGCGTCCCCGCCTGCCCGAACAAAAACGCCTCGCTCAATCGTGTAGCCCACTGGATACGGCATCATTCCGTGCGTGTGCTGGCGGAAGAAGCGCGGGTCACTCGCAAGCGAGCCCAAAGACACAACGCGCAACATCTCACCTTTCCGTCGCCTTCCCTCCTTGCTTTCGTTTTCTAGCAATGATGCTTTGCGGGGGCAGCAACACACACACACACACGAAGGGAGTGGGTGAGAGAAAGCTACACCCAGCCGCAAAGCAAAGAAAAAAGAGGTAAAAGAAAAAGAGTTGATGCGGGGGTGGGGGGTGGGGGAACAATTTCATGTGATGAACAAACAAAAAAAAGCATGGCAGGAGGGAATGCAGGAAGGGGGGAAGGGGCGTCGTGCACAAACGCACAGCCACGCACCTCCCTTCCCCCTTCCCCACTCACACGCACACAAAACATATATTTATATATATAAAAGACATGCGCCCACAGAACCTCAATTGTCAAGGCCACGACAGAACAGAAAAACAAAAACAAAATAAATCTGCACTCACAAGAGAAATAACGCTGAGGCGATTAACGGTAGGACTTCGTGAAGCGGGTACGGGCAGAGTGGCGGCCCCACTTCTTCGGCTCGCAGCGGCGTGGGTCAGCAATGAGGAGGTACTTGTCGTACGCCAGGTACTTGTCCTTCAGCGCGGACTTCTCCACCTCATTCTTGTACTTCTGGTAGTACGCGACGATGCCCTTCGCAATGGCCTGGCGAGTGGCGTAGGCCTGGGCAACCTGACCGGAACCACGCACAGTCACGTCAATGCGAAGGCGAGCAAAGTGGCGGGAACCGACCACATTGACGGCCTCCATAATCTTCGCGCGGAGCGTCTCGGGAAGAATCTGGGAAACGGGAACACCGTTCACGCGAATGTTGCATTGCGCGGACTTCGTCACCGTGGCGACGGCAATGGCCGTCTTCTTCTTGCCGAAGGTCTGCACCTGCTTGTGCGTGAAGCTCTTCTTCTCAGCAGTCATCTCAGTGCTAAGTCGGTGTACAAAATAAAAATAAAAAATAAAAGAGAGGCACGTTGTAGTCGACACACACAAAAACGATGCAACGTGGAGAAGTCAGCTGCAACCGCATAGTTTGCCCATAACAACGCTGGCAACACGAAGGAAGGTTCCCTGCCTCACCAAAAGGTGAAGGCAAAGTTTTTTTTTTTTTTTTTTTAGCACAAAGAAAAAAGCGTAAATAATACCAACTCATAAAAGTTGTCGCAAGCCCTGTCCCTTTCCATTTTCTGGCGACACAACTGGCGCTCCCCCGCTCCTCCTACAGCTGCAACACAAACATGATAATTAACGGTAGGACTTCGTGAAGCGGGTACGGGCAGAGTGGCGGCCCCACTTCTTCGGCTCGCAGCGGCGTGGGTCAGCAATGAGGAGGTACTTGTCGTACGCCAGGTACTTGTCCTTCAGCGCGGACTTCTCCACCTCATTCTTGTACTTCTGGTAGTACGCGACGATGCCCTTCGCAATGGCCTGGCGAGTGGCGTAGGCCTGGGCAACCTGACCGGAACCACGCACAGTCACGTCAATGCGAAGGCGAGCAAAGTGGCGGGAACCGACCACATTGACGGCCTCCATAATCTTCGCGCGGAGCGTCTCGGGAAGAATCTGGGAAACGGGAACACCGTTCACGCGAATGTTGCATTGCGCGGACTTCGTCACCGTGGCGACGGCAATGGCCGTCTTCTTCTTGCCGAAGGTCTGCACCTGCTTGTGCGTGAAGCTCTTCTTCTCAGCAGTCATGGCGGCTTGCCCTATTGCGTGTGCGTAGACCAAGAAAGCAATGTCAGAGGAAAGACACATATGCAAGAAGTAGTTGCACGTGAAGCAGGAGCTGAACAAAGTCCAAAAAAAAAAGTGGGGGAGTAAAGAAAGGTATGCAATAGACTGACTTTGCGCAAGAACTCTTTTTTTTTTCTTTGACAAAAGCGTCACGTTGAGTAGAGTGCCTGCAGTGATAGCGATAGAAACAACTCCAGTAGCTGACATCGTGGCTGTGCCTCCATTGGGCATTTTCCCCCCATCCCACCATCAAAAAGAAACATAACTACACGTACACGCACTTCAGTTCCTTCGGAAGAGGCTGGCTGAGGTGTTGGCTGGAACGTTCTTCTCTGCTCTCTTTTGTGCCTGCTGAGATTCCTCCTTTGCCCTGGCGGCTGCCTCAAGGTGAGTCTCCAATGCGGCCATACCCACCATCCCCTCAACGCCTGTAATGGTCTGCAGATCAAGTGCAAGGTCGCGCCGCTTCGCGTGCTCCTCGCTTATTGAGTCGTCAATGGGTGCCATCGTTAGCGGCACCTGCAGCATCTCCTAATGAGTCATAGGCCGCTGCAGCTCCTGGGGGGGAACAGGACTTCTCACCGCCTCACCCACATCCACAGCACGTTTTACTTCTTGCCAGGACCACTCTTCCCCAGGCGGTGTTGGCGGCTCGCGCCACGCACGCTCCTCCACTTGCGCCTCAAAGAAAGAGCTGCGAGTGGATTCCGTCATGGTAACATCCGCACCACGCAGGGCGGGATGTCCTGCCTCTACAAGTTCCTGAGACTCTGCACTCGCCTTTGGTAGCGGAACAGGAAGACGTATAATTCTGGGACCCCTTTGCCTCTCCTTCTGCCCTTCAGGCCTGTTTTGTGTCAACTCCGACCCTAATGATGAGGTAGCCGCAATTGTTGCTTCTTTCGCTGGTGATGACGGAGACTTTGGGGCATTGTTTGCGATGACCCCTTCACTACATGTTATTGACGGGAGTTGCCTTGGAAAAGTTGACCGTGCCCTCGCTCGTAAGCGCCGCGGTGTTAGCCAACTACGCGAAGGAGCTTGTGGAGTTAGAGGCAACGTGTCAGCGCCGTTTGTTGCTGGAGAGGGCGGAAAACTACGCCAACTTTGTCATGCGTCGTGTGATTGAAGATTACAACAAGCGGCAGGGTATGCAGGAGAAGCGTGTGCGGTAGTTGGATGAGCAGCTCAAGTTTTGGCAGTACATGGTGCACAACTTCCATGATCACTAGGAGGAGCTGCAGCGTGCCGTGAAAGAGTTGGAGCAAACGCCGGATGAGCTGCAGGGGTAGGCGGAGGACATTTCGTTGTCACTCAGTCCCTTTGCACGGCCACGCCAGCGGTGACCAATCGCGTTGGGATTCACAGATCCCGTAATTCAGGTATTCATGCGATTCCAAAGACGACGGATTCGACCGCCGTGCCGCATGGCCTGCGCGGTACCGCTTACAAAGCGTGTGTTGGCCGATAAATCATTAAACTTGCCCTGTAGCATTGCCCCACGAATGGCAGGGCCAATAGCGACCGCATAGTCGGCTGGGCAGGTGCTCTCTGGGGCAATGGGGCGCCCAAAATACTCCGACAGCATATGTCGAATCGGCGGATCCTGCGTCATAGCGCCCGCCAGCAGCACGTTATCAATATCCCTCACTTGAACCCCGGTGTGGCCAAAGAGCTTGTTCAGGCACTCTATGCAGCGGACGCGCACAGGACGCGTCAGCGCAACATACTCCTCGTGTGTCAAAGACGCCTCAAGAGGCACAATATCACGCAATCTTTCAGAAAAGTGAAAGGCACGGTTATAGCCGTAGTAGAGCTCAATGGAATGGGTCAAGTGAATCATTTCCTTCCCTGCCTCGAGGAGCTGACGGTAGGTGGCCACGCCTTGGCCCACATTTCCCTCAGCATCCTCGAGTGGGACCCGCCACTTGCGCTTAAACTGCTCCAAAAAATGCTGCGACAGCACCGCATTCCAGACGTTGCCGCCAAGAAGCGGATCGCCATGCGTGGCAACAAGTGTAAAGACGCCACTGCATTGATTATGCTCCATGATGGCGCAATCCAGCGTGCCGCCGCCCAAGTCAAACACAAGCGATCGCACCACACGCTGCCTGGAATGAGGTCTCTGCTTCGCCGCACCCTCCTCCTCATCGCGGCGTAGGGCGGTGTGCGTTAGACACGCCGCGATGAGATCATCAATCACCTCGAGCACGTCGAAGCCCGCCGCCAAAGCAGCGTCCTCAGTGGCAACCTTCTGCTGCGGCGTAAAAAAAGCCGGAACACTCACAACGACGGCGTCCACCAGCTCCTTCAGGTACATTTCCGCCTCATGTTTCAGGTATCGCAAAAACATGGCAATGATGTGCACCACCGTGTAGGTGCGCGACCCATGATTTCACCGCCACCTCCCCCTTCTCGTTGAGCGTCAACATGTTCGTCTTGTGAGGCTGCGACTGCACCCGGCCAAGCTCGCCCACGCCCCTCCCAATGAGACGTTTGCCGTTGCACAGTGTGGCACTTGCGCTGGTGCGCACACAGGCACGTGCCTCCTCCCCGTAGAGGCGAACTTTGTGATTATTTTCAAACATGATGGCGGTCGGGAAGACCCACGACCCAGTTGGGGACGGAATGATTTTGGGCTGACTCGTCACGTCATTAACATACGAGATGCAGCTGTTCGTGGTGCCGAGGTCGATGCCAATCACGCGCCCGCTGCGCGCGATGGTAGTCTCCTACACCACCACAAAGCGATGGCGTGTGGCCTCATCCAACTCCATCCGCCGCTTCGCCTCCAACTCCATGGAGTGATGCGTATTCACACTGCTGCCGGGCCGTCGCGACGGCATCAGCATAGGGAGCTACTCCAGGACCATGCGCATGCGGCGCAGCAGAAACAACACTGGAACACCGCATCTGTCCGCTTTGACCAAACAACACAAACGCCCTGCCACTTACCCGCCCTCAACTAAAGTTAGCGCGGGTGGGCGTGCAAAAATACCGTCACTGAATCCTGCGACGTTTGTTATTCGCCCCCGATCGCCTCCAACCACCACTGCTCAGTGGCTCTCCAAAGCAAAAAAAGAAAAAAAGATGGCGACTCCATAGGGAGAAGCCGCACCTGGAGTCAGAGCGGAAATGAGGAGAAAGGATAGCAAGGGCGGGGGAGTAGGTGCGCCCGCGCCCGCACGCACTAATCATCCCCCTCCCCTCACGGGCGCCACGCCCAGCACAGCCGCAGAGCGACAAGGAGAAAATCAAATTGAGAAATGCGGAGAGAAGATGCGCGTAGTGGCCGCAAAGCAAGCACATATCGGCATGCCCACGAGGACGCCAGCTGCAAGGCAACCACCACCCAACCACCCCAACACATACATATACACACACGCAGCAGTGAGAACGGCAAGTTGCTGTGTAGTTTCCCTCCGCCTTATTCCTTCTTTCATTGCAGGTTTGTTATGGTGTTTTCGTCATCCAAACTTCAGCTCGTCTGCGTTTTGAGCCTCATGCAGCCCCTCAGTACTCCGCACCTGTGGCAGCGCCGGCAGCAGGCGCTCTACGC